TAACATCCATGCCAATCCTCCTCTTTTTGCTGAGGAAGACTGGCCCTGGGCTAACATCTGTGCCCATCTTCCTCTACTTTATATGGGATGCCGCCAGAGCACGGCCTGACAAGCGGTGCGTCGGTGCACGCCTGGGATCTGAACCCAGGCTGCCAGCAGCGGAGCGCACGCACTTAACTGCTACGCCACGGGGCCGGCCTCGCAGCTGCAACTTCTTTGGCTGCATTTGGTGCATTCCAGTTCCCACTGGTAGGTTTGAGAGGCAGGGTGAACCAATACTATCCCTGCCTGTATCCATTTGCCATAGTTAGGGGAATGACCAAGTGCACTTGGAAGTACAGAACTCATTTCAAGAATACACATAGGAACTTCTCTGTCAACTACTTGATTGTTCTATCTTAAAAGCATCTTCCTTGATAATGAAAGTACCTATATTCACTGATAATCTCTATCTAACATCCCAACTCAGTTGCAAGCTCCACTGGTATAACACCAAATGTCATATTAATAAACTTCACTTCAGGTGGTCATGAAAAATAACCAAATATATGATTGGAGTGTGTTCACTTACTGTCCAGATATTAAGGATTTTCAGTATTGAAATCCTTTAATTTTTTACTTAACATAGCCTGTTGCACTGAAAAAAGGACTCCAAATTCACAATGGAAATATAATTATGTGAGAAAGATAAATTGGTGGTTTACTTATAGATCTATATTGAAGATTATAAAAATAAAAGTTCAGTTAACCACCTAAGTTATTGCTTATCTAAATATGTGGGCACTACTATTATATGTACAGACCTACAATATGATGGGGCCTCTAAAGTTGGAGTCTTTATTCTTCACTTAGAATAATTTATTTAACTTTTACTTCCTGGTATATTTGTTTATTTTCAAATATTGAACAGTTTTTTACTGAACCAAATGATAATTGTGATACTATGTTTATATGAAACCTTAAAAATTGACAGACTATAACAAACTCTACTCACCAAGAGGGTGAAACTTATTGACGGGGAAGCATCAAAATTATCTGATTTTATAAGACTGTCCCAAAGCATGAAACTGAGGATCGTGAGATACTGTCATAATAATTTTAAAATGGCATTTACTTTTTACCTCATCGAGGGACTAATCTGTATATAAAAGCACATTTCAATTTCTGAAATTCAACTTATGTGAAAATTTATTTAGGTAATTAGACATAATGAGGAACTTTATGACAGGAATTTCTTGAAATGTTTTTGAGACTAGGATAGCTATCCAAAAGCAGTTGTGGAATTTCATTGTCTAGAAATTCCAGAGCTGAAAGTCTGTCAGAGTTAGGGTTAGGTGGTACCCTCTTTAAAAACCGGAGAATGGGTAATAGGATTTTTCAAGTCTTTCCAGTCTAAATATTCTAAAGTTGCCCTGAATAAAATTTCTTGCACCAACCTGAATTACAGCAGCTCTTCAGCAGTATCTTATGAAAATAATAATACCTAGCTATCAGGGGATCTGACTTATTACATGTCTGACTTAGTAGGTGCTCAGTGAGTCAGTGGTTCTCAAGGTGTGATCCTAGACCAGCAGTATCAGCATTCCCTGGGAACTTGTTAGAAAGGCAGATTCTCTGCCCATCCCAGGTCTATTGGATCTGTATTAATCTGATATACCCTAAAGTCTGAGAACCAGTGCAGTAATAATTTCCTCTTGCGGAAGAACCAGAATCCCAGTCAAATGTAAATACAAATTGAATCTGTACCTGGTGCTAATCCTGTGCCTTTCCTTTCTATACAGGTCCCCTCCCCTCACAATGCTTTTCCTCTGTGCTACCAAATTCTCTGCCTTTACTCCTTCATCTTGCACAGACATCACCACTTTCCTGAGCAGTGACCCATGTTCAATGCCAAAGGTGCCAATTACTAGTTCAGAAGCTAAGACTCAAGGAAGTGGCCCAGCAGTGACAGCCACTAAGAAAGCAACCACTTCTCTGGAATCATTCTTCCAAAAAGCTGCAGAAAAACAGAAAGTCAAAGAAACTTCGCTTTCATCTCTTACTGCCACTGCCCAGGCTCCCATGAGCAATTCACCATCCAAGCCCTCATTACCTTTCCAAACCAGTCATGCTACAGGAACTGAGCCCTTCTTTAAGCAGAAGAGTCTACTTCTAAAGCAGACCCAGCTTAATAATACTTCAGTTTTCTTCCCTCCACAAAATCCACGATCCAGCCCTCAAGAGTTACCAAACGATTTTGCAACAGAATATCCTGATTGTGCCCCTGTCTGTGAAGAGGTGTTGAAGCTAGGATCCTCTAGAGCAACTCCTGCAGAGATGGATTTGACCCAGAACAGCCCAAGCAGGCTTGCTTCTTTAACTTCCAAGTGTGCTCTGGAGGGAGCGCAGAAGGCAACTACCACCCCAAGTCTCCTGGCTGCTGAGGACCAAATGCCCTGTGAGAAGTGTGGCTCTCTGGTACCTGTATGGGAGATGCCAGAACACACGGACTATCATTTTGCATTGGAGTTGCAGAAATCCTTTTTGCAGCCCTACTCCTCAAACCCCCAGGTTGTTCTTGCCAGTTCTCCTCAAAGCAAAAGAAATCCCAAGAGCCCTTTGGCTTCCAGTAGTAAACGCCCTAGGCCTGAGGGCATGCAGACATTGGAATCATTTTTTAAGCCATTAACACACTAGTACTGCCCTTAGGCTTGCTGTAGGGTTTTAATATTTTATCTGTAACCTAGGAGATGGAAATATGTTCACTTCTCAATGAAATTCGTAACTTTATGAAGTTTTTAATACGAAAAGTAATCCAGCTAGATGCTGAGTTAAGGCTCCCATCTTTTCACAGGCATGGATTCTAATCCCATTGCTGATAGAGATGTACAAATTTATCTTCCAGAGATATAACTGCTTTGAGTTTTTAATTGTTGGAGTTTAAGAAGGCAGCGTCATATAGTAAAAAATGTGTGGGCCTTGAAGCCTAAGAGATGTGGTTCCAAACCTGGCTCTGCCTCGTGGAATATGGCCTTGAGCAAGTCACTTTCCTCACTTTTCCCCATCTGTAAAATTGAGATAATACCTTATGGATTATTGAAGATTAAGAATGATGTATTTAAAGTAGGTAGCTTAAAGTTGGCACAGAAAAGGAACTGAGTAAAAAAATGTTTTAAAAAAAATTTTTCCCCTAGCTCTGTGACGGGGCAGTTCAGATAACACCTTGACCAAAATGTGAGGTTTGAGAATGTGAGGTGAAGACTTGAAACCCTAAAGTGATAATTAGTTTAGGGCAGGGCTCTGTATACAGAAGCTTTTTTTTTTTTTTTTTTGCTGAGGAAGACCGGCTCTGAGCTAACATCTATTGCCAATCCTCCTTCCCCCCCGCTCCCCAAAGCCCCAGTAGATAGTTGTATGTCATAGTTGCACATCCTTCTAGTTGCTGTATGTGGGACGCGGCCTCAGCATGGCTGGAGAAGCGGTGCGTCGGTGTGTGCCCGGGATCCGAACCTCGGGCCGCCAGTAGCGGAGTGCGTGCACTTAACCGCTAAGCCACGGGGCCGGCCCTACAGAAGCTTGTTAGTGAACAAAAATTCAACGAGTAAACTTAAAAGATCTAATTTGTTTTATTCAACGATTCATGAATCGGCAGCATCCCATCTAGTAAACAGAAAGGTGCTCAGATGAGTTGTACAAAATGCAAGATATTTATAGGCAGAAACTGGATGGGACAAGAAAGTTATTAGCAAAAGAAAAGGATTGTTTCAGGCAAGGTCACCAGTCACCTTTCTTTGGGGAAAGGGTGGCAGGGTCTTATCAGGCAGATTACCTCACTAACGTTTTCAGGAATTTCTGGACTTATCAGTTTAAGGTCACATTCCTGGGAGGGACTGAAACTGCAATTAAGTCTTGCTTTGCTGTCCTGGGTACAAGTGACTCCACCTTGGGCCTGCTGTTTCTTTTAACAAGCTACTCAATACTGAATTTCATACAAGTAAACGCTATTATAGCCACAATTTTAGTCAGTAGCCCTTCTACCTCTTGCATTTTGTTCTAATGTAGAATGATGATGTTACTGGACCAGTTCAGGAACTCTGTTTAGATTGGAAAAGTCATGATCAGAACTAGAGCATCTCTAGAACCTTGCTACTCAGTGTGGTTTTGAGGAGCAGCAGCATCAGTGTCAGCAGGGAACTTGTTAGAAATAGTCTCAGCCTCACCCCCACCCCTACTGAGTCAGAATCTGTGTATTAACAAGATTCCCCAGGGTGTATCTTAAAGTTTGAGAAATACTGATTTAGAAGATACCAATGGCTGGCCAGGTTTGTAGAGGGCAATGACATTTCCTTAAATGCTGAAATACAAATTTAAGAGGTAAGTGCTTGGGCCTTCAGGGTCACTGGCATGTTCATCTCTTCCCTACTGAAGTATGAATAGTTTGCTTAGGGTTTTAAATTAATTATTGGAGCTTATTGTACTTGTCCATGTTTATAGTACTATATTCTTAATCTTCATTCTTATTTGTGCAAAGTCAGTGTCTTTTTTTGGCTTTTCTGATATGGGATACCTTGAATTACACAGAGAACCCGAGTGAAGATGAACTGAGCTAGGCGGTGGTGGTGGGGAAAGTGGGTACGGAGAATTGTGTACATATCCCCCCTCCCATACATAGAAACAAACCAACTGCTTTTGAAGCTTATTTGTAAATTGGGGGTCTGTATTTAGTTTGAAGAAGGGGGGAATGTTTGAAAACCACTGGGTCTAGCAGGAAATTATTTCTTCCTCCAAAAACATTTTCCACTTTGGTGGCAGTTAAATATCTAATAAAAGACAGTATTCACAGGCCGCCACAGTGGCGTAGTGGTTAAGTTTGCATGCTCTGCTTCGGCTGCCCAGGGTTCGTGGGTTCGGATCCCAGGTGTGGACCTAGGCACTGCTCATCAAGCTGTGCTGTGGCATTGTTCCATATACAAAATAGAGGAAGACTGGCACGGATGTTAGCTCAGGGCTGATCTTCCTCACCAAAAAAAGAAAAAAAAAGACAGTATTCGCTGTGTACATGGCCCTTTCCCTACTAGATTTGTAGTTTCTTGAAGGCAAGAATTCTGCACAGTACCTTGCACATAATAAGTATTTGATATTCACTGGATGAAACATACATAGTGAAAAATTTTAGATGATTACCAGAACTGGAAAAATAAAAATGTACATACTACTGGCGGGGGGGGAGCCTGCCTTATATGTTTTTATCCTCCTAAATATTCCATTAATGTAGCAAAGTGAGTCACTAGTTCCTAGAGATGTCTCATTAAGTACAGAGATAATTTTCCAAATTTCCTTACTTAATCCAGAGAAAAGTTAAAAAAGAAAAAAAAAAAAGCCTGAGATGAAGCAATCATCTCCTTTGGGCGCTGTACAGATCAAGCTGAACAAATTTTTAACACGTTGGTTGACTGGAAGGAGTCATACTGAAAAGTAATATGGACTTCATTGGACTTCTAGAGGCCAAGATGGGTAGTGGGGGCAGGGGGTGGGGAACTAGTGGGTAATCAATAAGACAATACCAGCAGCACACCTTCTGTTTTCTTGGCAATGCCAACCCTGCCCCAGCACACTGGCAACAAGCCTGTGGAGGGGACAGCAGACAGACATGCAAAGGTCAGTGTTGGGTGAAAGCTACAGTACCTTTTTGCTGAATATAACCTTTCCTCAAAACTGTTTATCAGCAACTGTACAGAAGGAAGTAAATAGCTCTTAGTTCCCAACACAGGAAGAAGTTCTTCAACCCCAGGCTTCTTAGTAGCAAGTTAAACCAGTGACATTTCAAAAAGCAGCTGAGCTTGAGTGATAGGGAAACTATCACTTTAACACCTTGGGATGCCCCAGGGGAGATTAGGCCATGTTTATCATTAAATTTCTTTTGCAAAGATCAGTACTCAAAATGCAGACCCTACTTTTCCAGTTTAACCTTAGGCCATATTCCTCTACCCATAAAATGTGATAGGTACAGGAAGAAAGGACTAAGGTTTGGCCAGGCAGCCCTCAGAGCCAAGAAGCCAGTTTAGGCTATATAAACCTCACTTCAGGCTATTTTGCATTGCTAGGAGAAGCTGAGGACCAGATTACCATATCTCTAAATTCTACTCTTCATTAAGTAGCTGGCATGCTAATCTCTATAAATTTCCAACAGGGCACAGTAGTGGGCTCCTTACCATTGTGACCATTAGCAAGTGTCCACTCCTCAAGTACAGGGTGGTGACCCATCTCAGCTGAAAAGGCAGCAGTTTCATTTGCTATTCTGGTCACTCAAAGAACTATGCAAAACAGGCCAGAATACTTGGTCACAATACTGGGACACTGATTGCATGTTGGGGAGAGGAAAGGAAGAATGGCGAATGAGATACCAGACAGGTTCTTTCCCCATTCAGGGCTCAGCAGTGTTAGGGTTTCACTTGTCTCTAATCCTGGAGAGGAGTCTAGCTCTGGAAGCTGAGCCTGTGTCTTAAGCATAAGCACAGTGTGTTCAATAAAACATTTTTATTCTGTACAATATATATATGTGTATTTAAATATATATATATTTATATGCAGAGAAACCTCAACCACCAAATCCCTGAGTCCATGGGAACCCAGGACACTAACAAAAGGAAAGGAGGGAGTCCATGCCCTAAAAAGTAGAAATATGGCAACATCTTTCCCTTTCCTCTAGGTTCCCTGCAACAGAGGGAAAGGGATGGTCACTGCAAATTACTAAAACGAGAGGACTTACATGGGAGCAGGAAGGGGGGTGAGGGTGGCAGGATGGGGAGCTGTGGGTCAGGTCCCCAGCCACCACCAGTCTGGGAGAGGAAAACATACTGTTTGATCCAGCATTAAAACCAACAGGTCACTGCAAAGGGGAGGACAAGACTGATTAACGTGCAGCTGACCTTCGGTATGCCGAGCCTCCGCTCGGCAGCCCCACGCCTGGGCCAGCACAACAAATAGCACCAGTGGGGCCTATGGGAGGACAAACTGGGGAAATGGCCCTTGAGTGAAGAAGGGAAGGGGGATAAAGCTGAAGAACGGGCCTCATGTCTCAGCACAGGGTGGGAGCACAGCCATTCACTGTCCCTGTGCCATTTCTTCAGATCCTGGGCCACCAGATGGCCAGGAGCAGATGTCTTTGTCCACAGTCAGTTAGAGATGGGCAACTTACATGGTCTTGAGAAGAGGTATAGAAAAAGGAGTGCTTCCGAGGACCACCCCCAGTTGTTGTGACAATTCCTGAAGTGCAGGGACCACACCAGCCCAGTCCTGACAGTGGGGCCGAGGTGGCAGCAGTCAGCTCCCTCCAGTGGACAGGCCATGGAGTTGCCCGGGTTGATGGGCCAACCAGGTGGACACAGTTGCTGAGCACTGCCCTGAATTCTGTCTTCTCCCTCAGGACTGCCCCTCCCTGGCCACACTAAGCTTGGCACCTCTCCAGAAAAGTGGCAGGGAGCACCCCTCTTTCCCTAGCCTATTAACACACAGAGCCGCCAACGTGGGGCAGCGTGGCCAGAAGTCACCTTATATATTGTAGGGACAGCAATAGAGCTGTGCCCGCCTGGAGTTCAGAAGCCCATGTTGGCCTGGGCCTCTCCTGCTGCAATGGCTTGCACATCAGTGACATGGCCGATGCCCTTGGTGACACCCTCCCGGAACAGCAGCTTGGCGCCCACCTTCAGGTACTCTGGGTGTTTCAGGAAGCGGAAACGTACCACTGCCTTCTCCCCTGTCCGCAGCTTGTCCTGCAGCAGACACGCAGTCACTGGCCCTGGACAGTGCCTCCTGTCCCATTCTCTACCAGCTTTGGCTCTCCACCCTCAGGGGCCTATCAGGCTTCTACCCACCCCAAGTGGGGCTTTGTTCCCTTTGTAGGATCAGGGAATTCTCTACAAGTCTAAGGTCAGACCTCCTTCCTTTCTGGAGGCAGGAGAATTCTGATTTTTTCCTGGGAAAACGGGGGCATGGCTGGGTCCCTCTCACCTTGGCATGGATCTTTTCCACCACTGCCGTCTGACGTACGTTGCCCACATGTACTGTCACCTGGAAGCCTCGCCGGAAGGTGGTAGCATGGAATAGTAGGACTATTTCTGCCTCGAACACTGAGCAGATGGTGGGATTCATCTCGGGGCTCACCATCACCATGCCCTGGGGAGGCACAGCCCCCAGACCCAGAAAGGGCAGACCTCGCATTAGTCTCTCCCTCCCCAGCCACCCTCACAGCCTTTACAGCTCCTAAATTTCCTCTTTTTCTAGGACTTCAAACACAAAGACCTCAGGCGACAATACTCAAAACGCTTCTTTTAGAGGGAACCCATCCACCCACCTCCCATGTCCTCTAACTCTTCTAATGCTTTGAATTTTTAGGGTCCAGGACACTCGGATTGCACCACAGTGATTTATATTTAGTGATTTGTGCTTTATGAGTATTCTAAGCATTTTTAATACACGGACAGTCTGTGTAACCAGCTTTCTGGGTTAGAGACCATGTTTTCTTTGAGGGCCTCTGAAGCATCTTAGACAGGTGCTTCTCACTCAAGTAGCCAGTCTCCCAGGCACTTCTCTTTGTGTTCCCTCTCCAACCCACCCTCCCACCTCACCTTGCGAAGAAGTGCACGATCAAAGTCCCCGAGGGCCAATGTGGCAGCCTGACCAGCTCGCAGCACACGACAGGCGGAGCGGTTGCGCTGGATGCTGCATACTCTCAGCTCCAGGAAGCAGCCATCGTCCGTGGGGCCCACCACCAGCTGGTCCCCCTCACGGCAAATCCCACTGCAGCCCAGAAGGCAGGTGGCACAGTGTCAGCCTAGCTCCCCTACCTACTTCTCTGCTAGGGTCACCCAGACCATTCTTTCTCTTCTAAAGTTGAGTCCCTTAGGTGGGGAAAGAGACCCTAAATTCTGATCTGGAGGAAGGGCAGATGACTGCCTCGCCCCAGTCCAGAGTTGAGACTCTGACGGCTAATGCCAGGAAAGGCAGTGACGACTGGCAGAAAGGTAACTGCTGGTTTGACAGTGAACACCTGATCCCTGAAAGAGCAAGTTATCCCCTTGGGTTTCAGCCTCTGCTTTGGAAAGAGTCTCAAGGGACCTCTCATTTCCCTACCTGGAGATTAAGTCAGTTGAATATATTCTAGTTTTCTTCTTGGGGCCCAAGACCCACACTTCTCCCTCAGGGGCCTGGAGATTCCCAGTAAGCAGCAATAGTGTTTCTTCCCTCATAAGCCAACAGACTAGCTTTCTCCAGCTCTCTGGATGGTGAAAGCCTAATCTGGAAACAAGTGCATCTTTTCGATGGGTTCTGTTCAACTCCAGGGGCTCCTGTGGGCCACGATGTCTTCAAGTGTATGGGTATGTGAGGGCTGAGTGGGTGGGGAGCAAGCAAGTAATTCACCTGGAAAGTGTCCCTCCAACGACTGTCCCCACCTCTGGTACCGTGTAGATTTCATCCACCTTAAGCCAAAGAAGGTTCTATCAATGGCCTGCTAAGCAGGGCTGACAGGTCCCCAAATCTCTAAACAGATTCAAGGCTCAGTCAGAATCAGTCCCTCCCAGTTCCCCAGCTCACTGCCCGTTTGGGCGGCCAATTACCTGGAACTCCGTCAGCTGCTGCATGAGTTCCTCCTGCTCTTTGCTATTGGTGAGTGGTGGCAGGATATTCAGAAAGACTTTGAGCAGGTCCAGACTCTCTCCAGACACGCTAGACAGTGTGAAGATAGGGGTGACACTGTAGAGGGAGGCATAGAATGGACAGATGAGGAAAGTTCTAACAAGAAGCAGAAGCTAGAGCCACATATATGGAAAGGTGACCTTCTCTCTGGGTGGTTAGGGGCCCTTCTTTCCTATCTGCTAGCCATCTCAGGAGCTCTGGGCCCTCTCTCTGTCAGCCAGCCAAGGAATGTGGCACGTGAAGCCCATCCCAAAGCCCAAGGGAGACGGTGAACGCCAGGCATAGCACTTCGTCTCCAGGGTCTCAGGCATCAGCAAAGCTCCAGGCTGGCTTGGGAGAAGGGCCAAGCCCTCTAGCCAAGACTGTCTCCCACAATCCCGACCTGAAAAACCACAGAACTAAGCCAGAACTGGTCTGGTCCTGGGGTGGAACACCATGCTCCGGGGCTCTGTGGCAGTCTTCCCGGTGGATCAGGGCTCTGGAGTGAGAAAGGCTTACTTGGGTGACTGGGCAAACTGCTGGGCAGCAGTGACGGCATCATCCTCGGAGGTAACCAGCATGGGGACCTTGTGGCAACCAGGCTGCTTGAGGACCCGCTCTAGCTGCCGTACCGTCCTCTCCACTGTGGTCTTGGCACACAGGTCCACTTTGCTGACCACGATGAAGAAGGGCACTTTCAGGGCGAGGGCCAGGCCCAGATGTTCCCTGGTGGTGCCAGCTGCCTCAGAGAAGGCAAGCAGGCAGAAGGAGAGAAGAATGAGAATGTGGGAAGGAAGCAAGGGAGCCAGAGTTCATCTGGCTCCCAGATTTGAAGAGGCCTACGGTAGGAGAGAGTGAGCACCTCCCTCCAGCCCCACCCCTGTCCCAATGCCTCGTACCAATCCCAGTGTTAGCACTGACGAGGAGCAGGGCACAGTCAGGGCAGTATGAGGTGAGGCCAAAGATGGTGGTGTGTAGGTACTTGTGGTGGCCTGCCAGGTCGATGAAGGTGATCATCTTGGAGCTGCTCTCACAGATCTCTTCTGCCGTCCGTGAGTCACTGTAATTCACCACCTAGCCCAGAGCCCAGGGCTCTCAGTGTCCCCTGCCAGCCTCCCCAACCCTTTAAGAGTCGCCAGGACCTAAACCAGTCCCTGGGTGACCCTGCTTCTTAACCTGAGCCCCATTTCTGATTCCATTCAGCTGATTCCCCATTTGTTTTCTAAGGAGGCCAGAGCTTGTTCAGTGCCCTCTGGGCTTTCATCTACACTACTCCAAAAAGTCTCCACACTCTGCCCTCGGACTCGGTCCTTCTCCACACCATCCCATCCTCAGAGTCCGGCCCCACTGGGTCCCGTTGATTGCATGCACCTCTCCCTTGCTGTTAAAGCCCAGGATCTCGAAGCTGATGCTGGAGGTTCGGCCAGACTGAATCTCATGCAGGTGGCGGAAAAGGTTGAGTCGAGCCCGGCCCCGCCCATTGTCCAGCTCTCCCTGGGTCAGGACTCCAAGCAGAGTCGACTTCCCTGAGTCCACATTCCCCAGGACGGCCACACGGAGGTCTAGGAACTGTGGACGAATTGCCAGAGGTAAGGGCTCCAATCCCTCACCTCTCTCCACTGAAGGTTGGGTCAAGGGCAGTGACACTCCCTGGGGAATAAATGATGAACTAGACAACCCCGGGATCTCAGGCTAGGGGAGAGCCTGCCGCAACAGGGCCCTCCTGGGAAGCATGTGCGTGGGAGGCGGAGAAGGGTATGTGCTCACCTGCTGGTTGTCAGGGACCTTTCGTACCAACACCTCAGTGATCTTCCGGGGCATGTCGCTATCATAATCTACTTCTCGCTCCCGGAGAACAGTGATGTCGGCCCCGACCCTGTTACAGCAAGGCCACAGGTGCCATATCTCACCTGTAATTCCGCCCCAACCCCCTTCCATTTTGGCTCTGGACGGATGGCCTTCTCACACCTCCCACAGAGCTCCCAACACTTTACTTCACATTCTACCACCCTCCAATCTACCCCGCGTCCATAGCTCCCTTTAAACCAACCAACCAACCTCAAATCAAGGAGCAAAAAAGCCTAGATCCAATGAGGAGGAGCCCAGAACACTAATCTTTTGTCAAGAGAAGGCAGCAGAAGGAAAGTCCCTCCCTGGCCCCTCCGGCCCTAGGTATGCATGGGTCCTCCCCAGAGTAAGGTAAAGGAGAAGGGAGGGGAGGGGAGGGGGAAGAGGAAACATACTTCTCCGCCATCCGGTGCAGGGTCTTGAGGGAGGCCCGCATCTCCTCCTCAGCCAGCCCCACCAGCAGCCCATTGTCCTCTACCCCAATCTGGTAGACGGCCTCACCGCGGCCCTCCTGGAGCCGCCATTTCATCTGTGTCACCAGGTGCTCAAAGCGGTACTGGGATGGATTCACTAGCTTCAGCTTAGGGCAGGTGAGGTATCATGAGAAGGTGAAATCAGAGATGCTCCTCCTAAACCCACATGCTCCCCACCTGTCCTGCTGCAAGGACCAGGATCTTCCCTTCTCACTTAAACCCCTTCATCTCTGACCTCCTCTAACAGTGAGTCCCCCTCCAACAGAATGAGGTACAGAGCCCTTACTCTGAACCACATCCCTAAATTGCTATAGAGATCATGAAATTGGAAGATGATTTCTCAGAGAAATCATCCCACACCAGCAAGGACAACCTGCCCCTCCCCTAAGACTCACTTTATATTCGATGTTTCCATCTTCAGCCTGAAAAGAAACAGGGAGCAGTTTTACCACACACCATTCAGACCCAACCCCTACTTCCCCCTGATTCTCGATGAGGCCTAGGCAGCTAACTCGAGAGCAGGAAGCCTCAGCCGCACCTGCTTAGGCAGGTGCACGCCCAAGGTCATTGGCAGACAAGCCCTCTACTCAGCCCCAGTGTGACCTCTCTGAAGGAAAGGCCTCTCTAAGAACAGAGCAAGTCACCTATCTAAGCCAGGAACAGAACTCTGAGTCCCTCCTTTCCTTCATCACTGGCAGCACATACTTCCTAGACGCAAGATCACTCCTTCCTTCTCCCCAGGGCCTCAAACTGCTGTCCCCAGAAGTCTATGTCTCCTGTGTGTCCAGGCTGCTGAGGCTGTTCTCTTCCACTGGTCTGAGAGACACCATTTCCTTCCTGCCCGCCCCTCTCAGCTGATGTCATCAAGAGTAAGATGCAAGAGGCTGCAAGAGGTTCTGGACCAGGGCCAAAGGATGAGCTGAGTGCTGGTCACAAGCCCAATGAAAGAGGAGCCCAGGTGAGAGAGGTGCAGGGTTCCAAAGTTGGGGCTGAGATGAAAAGAAGATACACAGAAAATGTAAGGAAGGGGACAGACTCCACAAACCAGACTCACTGTGGCTTTTACCTCCTGTCTCCTGACCCTCACGCTTCAGTTGAGGTGAAATCCTGAATCCACCCCACAATCTCCTCTACCTCTTCCCTGTATCAGGTGACCCAACACAGAAGTGTCCTGTTGCCTGAGCCTTCCCCTCTCAGCTGCAAAGGGATATGACATTTGCTTGTTCTGCCTGACCTGCATTTCTGCACTCCTCCTCCCTGGCCATTTCATTTTTATTCTTCCGTTCCTGTCATCATTCCACCCCTTCAAGGCCCTCTGACTCCCAAGCTCTAACAGGGTTTCACCCATAATCTCCACCTCATGGAGTATAAGGGAGATCTTTTTCCATCAACAGAGACCTTCCTTTATCATTTTGCTGGAGATGCATAATTAGGATGGGTGGCTTCAGAAAACTGATACAAGGATGATGGTCCAGGCCAATGATTCTCAAAGTATGGTCCTAGGACCAGCAGCATTAGCATCACCTGGGAATCTGTAAGAAATGCAGATTACCAGGCCCACCTCTGACCTACTAAAATCAGAAATTCTAGGTGTGGGGCAGCAATCCAGGTGATGCTGATACACGCTAAAGTTTGATAACCAGTGGTTTAGGCTCTTCCCCTGGGTCCTCCTTTCCTAAGAGCGACAAAGTAGCAATTACTCTCTGCCTTAGGGATTAATGAAACAGGTATGTGGAGGCTGTCCTCACTTCCCCGTAGGACAGGCAAAGGGCAGGAGGACTAAGCCTGACTGTTGTCTGGTTGTGTTTGTGTGTGTGTGTGAATGTGTGTGTACTCAGGGACAGGGAGGGAACACATTGCTTTTTTCCTCGAGTACTCCCCTCCTCCCTTTGGAACAAGTTTAGAAAACTCTGCCTCTTCATCCCAGCATGCCGTCTCCCTTCTCCTGTTGCAGCACAGGCAGGGGGCCGGGGCATTCTACTCTGCTCTTCCCAAGGGGATGCGGTGGGATCCCCTCTCCCCACTTCTCCTCCTGGAGTTATCTAGATCAGAATGGGGGAACCCTCCCTCTCCACTCTTCCTCCTGGGGTCCTGACACCAGAAAGGAGGCCAGTCTCTATCACTCCTCCTGGGGTCCTGGGACCGGAAGGAGTGGTTCTCCTCTCCCCCGGGGTCTTGACACCGGAAAGGGGTATTAATTGTCCCTGTCCCGCCTTCCTGGAGTGCCCGGACCGGAAGGAGTGGTTTCCTCTCGTTCCGCCACTTCTCAAGTGCTCACCTCGGGGGGCAGGTACGGGGGATTGTTGGCTTTGGCCGCTCTGTTCCTTCCGTTCTTCTTCTTCCCCTTTGGGCCCCCGCAGCCGCTGCTGCCGCCGGCTCCCCTAGCCTTGAGGGTTCCGCCCACGGCTGGGCCCCCTCCCGGCCGGCAGCAGCCGCCGAACAGCTCCGATACCCGCGAGTCCATCGGCCTCTGCCACCAGCCCCCCGCCCAGCCCCTCCCCCCCGCCACCGCCACCGGGGCCGCCGCCGCCCCTACTGCCGCCGCCGCCCCTACTGCCGCCGCCGCGTCCGGCCAGCCAGAGGAGAACGGGGTGGGGCCCTCCGCAGGCCACGCCCCCTCCTCTGGCCCCGGCTAGCGTCAGAAACAGCCGCGGGGCACCACGGGATATAGAGTCCTCAAGCCTGGGACCTCCCTCAGAAGAGCTCACCGCCGCCCTACAACTCCCAGGAGGCATCGCGGTGCAAGGGGCCGCGCTGGGCTTCGGGGCGTAGGCAAGGAGCGCGCCTTTGCGCGCAAAGACCTAAGGGAGCTGTAGTCTGGTTCCTAGTCTCCGCGCTCCGAGCGGGTCTTTTCCTAGGGCCCGGGGGAAGTTTAGAGCCCGGCGGCGTGTGGGTGGGGCAGTCCCAGGAGGCTGAGGGTTTACATCAGAATCAGGCTTTGTGTACGCTCCTCGGTTTGGCCCCTTAGCTCAATCCCAGACTACAGTTTTTGGACCTGGAGAGCTGCAAAATTCAGGGCGACTGGTCCCTCCCCCCTGCTGTCTCCGCCCCTGCCTCAGTTTCTTCCTCGACAGCTGGCGTGCTGTCGGGGTGAGTCAGGGCAAATGCCAGGGCAGAGGCGGATGGTGGTTAGCCTAATTACAGCTGTTATTGTTGCGATGATTATGCCGCCTTTACACAGTAGTCACTGCTTTATTACCAGGTTGGCACCCTCCGGGGGCTAGTTTTAGCAGCGGGAGACACCGCGGTGGCCCCGACACGAGGCCCGAACCCGTAAACCAGCCTTGCTGCTTGAGGGCTACAAGGATGCCCGCAGCGAGTATTACCCCTCCTCTTTGTTTTGAAGCAGAACCAATCCGGGAGAACGGAGTTTGGTTTTAAAACAGCCGGGGCTGTAGGAGGGGCCTGGCCCCTTCTCGGGGCGGGGCTGGGGCTCCGGTTACGTCAACCACTGCGAGGGCGGGGGACGTAGCTGAGAATAGAAACTTGGCCAAGGGCCCCGGGGGAATACAGTACTGACTTTTGACTTTTTTGCCAAGGCATGTCTCTTGCTCTTTAGGGCTCTTGCAGTCAGCAAAGAGTAAATAAACCAGTGTACAAGATACTAGAAAGGCAGAGTGGAGAAGCAGTTAGTGTTGCTGGGCTGGGAGTCAGGACGCCAGGGTTCAATTCCCAGCCCCCACGGCTGTCTCATGACTCACCACCACTCACCGTATGTCCACTTCCCCTCTTCACAAACAGCGAGATGCTCTCACACAGCCAAGAAATAAAACAGCCCTTCCCTCCAGACCTCAGTTTTCCTTGGAAAACTCGAAGCAGCAATAGTGGCTTACCTCGGGTGATCGTTTCAGGGGTTCAGACCTGGTGGAGTCCATGGCTTTTCCCCAAGAACAGGAGGGACGCAGGTTGCTGTAGATCACGTAGTTGCTGTCCACATGGCATAACTTCCCAAAGCAGTGGGAGCAGAAGGACCAAAATCTGCAGAAGGGCCTAGCAGACCCAGCCAATTATGTGGTCTTCAGTGGTTGAAAGCACATGTGACTTCTTTCTTCTCCAACCTGTTCATCTAAAGGAAGGTTACATTGCAGAGGTCAACCCTAGCCAAGGGCACAGTTCCACCAGGGAAACTGCCACGTAGAGGCTGAGGCTGAAGAACTCAGTGAGAGATCTCAAGAAGGATGGGGATTGGAAGGGAGAACTAAGACCATACCCACAACATTCTCACCACCACCAGCTCTGGTCTCTTTTGATAACCAGGGCCTGCTGCACTCGCCTGATAACACCTGTCCTCTCCTCTTCATGGATTTTCAGCCACCTCAACACACAATTTCACTTCATCCATCCCAAAACCCTTGTCTTCTAAGTGGAGAACTTCTTTTAAGAGATGAGAGGGGGTAACCTGTTCTGATATCCCATTCTTGAACAATCTTGCTTACCAGACAGGAGTGAAGGCTGGCAGAGGAGTAGGCTGAACAGGGATGTCTGTCCAGGAGGAGGTCAGGGTCCTGGGAGATGGAATGTGGTCTTTGTGTTTAGTTCCCTGGAGGTGTTACTTATGAGGTGGTTGGCTGTGGGATATGTATACACATACACACACACACATTTTTCCTGGCCTGTAATTAGTCATTTATTGTTTGTGTATATGATACCAAACCTCTTAATCTCAAGTTCAGGTGCCTGATGCACAGCAAGCCAAACACTGAGACATGGGTGCTTAGAGATGGAGAAAGATTTATTCAAATTGGCCAAAATGAGTAGATGGGAGCCTGGGTTCACTCAAATCTGCCTCCCCAAGAACAGAAAGCAGGGGTTTTATAGAGTTTAGCAAGAAGAGCTTTGGGGAAACAAAAGGGTCACTCCCGATAAGCCCCTGGGCAATCTGACTTCTGGGCTTCAACAGCTGCTGGGTGCCTGCCATTGCCATTCGGTGATCGATCCCAACCTCCCCGAAGGCATTCTCTTTCTTCTGCAAAACAAGCTCACAAATCCTCAGAGACCCCTGGGTCACCTCTCAAGTTAAACAGGAAAAACAGCAAATTTGTTTAATATCTACACTACATCTCAGGTACCCAGCTTCATATAGTACATTTACATAGTTTTAAACTCAGATTTAGCAATCTTTCCCTTTATACTTTTTTGGTTTTGTGTCATGCGTAGGCTAGCCCCACTCCTAGATTATGAATTATTCCTTTTTTTTAAATAATTTTATTATTATTATTTATTTATTTCCCCCCCCAAAGCCTCAGTAGATAGTTGTATGTCATAGCTGCACATCCTTCTAGTTGCTGTATGTGGGACGCGGCCTCAGCATGGCCAGAGAAGCAGTGTGTCCGTGCGCGTCCGGGATCCGAAGCCGGGCTGCCAGCAGCAGAGCGCACGCACTTAACCGCTAAGCCACAGGGCCCGCCTATGAATTATTCCTGAATATTTTATTCTAGGAGTTTGAGGTTTAATTTTATGTTTAGATCTCTGATCCATTTGGAATTTATCTTTATGTAACATGTGTAGTAGGAAATAGTTTGACTTCTTTTCCCTCTAAATGGGTAGGGAATTGTCTCAAGCTATTTGCTTTGAAAAGTCAACCTCATTATATACTAAGATCTACATATACGTGGATCTGTTTCTGGACTTTCTTCTGTTTTATTATTTGTTTGTGTATTCCTCAGCCAATACCACAGTATTGTTAAAGAGAAAACCATAGGCCCAAAATGGCGTTACTTGTGCTAAAGCCCACGATACCAAACCCAGATTTAATACCTAATGTAACTGCAGTTTCAACCTTCCCTGGAAATATAATCTTAATCAGCCAGTCTGGAATTTTCTGGTTAATACCAATGAGGTAGTCTGTCATGTGGGCTCTCTCCATTCCTCCAGACCCCAAAAGGAAGCCAAGGCAATCTGCATGATATACCACTTGCTGGTCAATACCACCGCCCACCCCCACCCC